ATGACATCTCTGCCACTTTTTACTTGTAAGAATTTAGCCAAATTACATGTAGATACATGGAACCAATAATATCTGCTTTATCAAGTTGTTGTAATATATTTCTTAATATAATACCTTGGAAAGGGGCTGGTACATATTTTGCTATATAATAGATGTCCAATGAATTATTTATATTATTATTATTGATTATACAAGGTTGGAAGTAGTAAAGGCAAAGTTGAGTAGTGAAGATAATAAGACCAAGTAGGAAAACTGGGTGAATATTCACCAAGGAGAAAGTACCGGACAGTGGTCCCGTGTGGTCCTCACTCATGTACCCAGAGCAGGGGAATGAAGGCAGACGTTGAGGTTATGCCTGAAGCAGGTACTTTGTCAGATGTTGTAGGACTCAATGTTTGGAAATAGAGAAATTAGTAGAAGGGTATGTGGAAAAGTGTGAAGAGATCTGTATATAACCTCATCTTCCAGTCATATCTGTCCATTTCGGTCCTCCATGCCACCAATTCCTTCTAATCAAAATATAAATAATTTTGTTATTAACTTTTACCTCTTTGCTCTGGGTTTTTCAATGTTCTGTTTTCTTCCACTAGTAGTTATCTTACCCTGAAAACTTTGCAAAGCTTCATTCAGTCCAAATGGTATCTCCTCAGTGAAGACTTTCCAGAAACAAATGGTCTCCACCCTGGATTTTCACAATACTCAATATTCTAAGGTAATTCTTACTTTTGTACCCTTTGGAAAGTAACTCCAGTGACTATTTGTGTTGGTGTTGTCAGGTTTTGAAACTACCAGAGGCCTAGTGAGGAGTAGGGTCATTAAAATAGGAAATTAGTTTTTGCCAGATTTTGAGACAGGGTCTCATTGTGTAGCCCAGAATGGTGTCAAATTCACAATTAAATTCACAATTCAATTATCCTGCCTCAGCCTACTGAGTTCTGGGATTGCATGACTCCAATTAAAAATTAACATTTTTAGGTGCAAAAGACTAGAATATTGCCAGAGATATAGCAGCAGTAGAAGGTAAGCAGTGGAAGGAAAGGAAAAAGAAGGCTTAGTAGATTGTACAGTGTTCTGATTAGATACAGAAATATGACCAGTAAAGAATAAGGTGATTATTTGGGGGAAGACATTATGAATCTACCAGTTGATTCCTACAACCTTAAGAGTTGTAGGAAATGATTCAGAAAGATTAAAAATACCTGCTATCAAGAAGTTATTTTAAGAATTTGATTTTTTGCAGTGCTGAGATTGAACCTAGGCCCTCATGTGTACTAGGCAAGTTCTCAACCAAACCTTAAGCCACATCCAAAGCCCAAGAATTTTTAAACATCTCCATTGCTCACAACCTTCTAAAATCACCCTAATCCTCTCAAGGTAAGAGCTAATGCAATCACAAACTGCTCCAAAGGGCCATGATGAAGGGCCTATCATCATCTCTCTCAACCTTACTACTATTATTCTATTACTTCATTTCTCCCTTCTACTTACTCTAGTTATATTGGATTTCTAGTTTTTCGTTACGTGTGCCTCATCCTTGGTTCTTTAAACTACTTATCCTTTTGTCTGGGAAATTTTCTTGTCAAAGATCCAGATTGCTAATAACTTCCCCTTCCTCATGATTTCTGCTTAATGAAGGAGACCTTGTCTCTACTATCCTATTTTAAATAATCTATTGTCATTGCTACAGTGCTGAGTTTCATTACCTTGTTTATTTTCTCCATAGAACTTACCCATCTCTACATTCATGTTCTTAGTATATTAATTGTTTATTGCCTGTCTCCTCCTTCTAGGATATAACTACTTAAATTCAGGGAGTTTTACCTGTTTTTGTCTGTTTCACTTACTGAGCTATTCCAAACATCCAGAATAGTGCTTGTCACATCATAGAGGCTCAGTGAGTATTTGTAAAAGAATGAATTTAATATACAGATAGAGATAGGATGTCTGATTAGTTTCTTGAGAAACAGGATGTAAAATAGATGAAGGTACTAGTTTTAGATAATTGCTAAGGACAGGATAAGCAGAGATATTAGAGAGTGGACATTCATGATTTGGTAGTGGGAAGTTTAATAAATTCCCATGTGAGAGCCTCATTTGTCTTTATAAAATAAGGGATGAAGTTGTCTGCTGAGAATTGACTGAGGGACTGGAATGGCAGATTAAAGATCAGAGGCCTGAATTCCTAGAAGAAATAGAGAGTGAGTTGACTGAAATCTATTGGAGGATAGTCAGCCATTGTTTACCACCCAGTTGAGCTCCGTACCCCAAGGGCTACATGGGGTCTTCTTTGTATGATCCCTTGACTGAGATATTTATTGAAATACATTTCATTTTATCTTCAAAAACTGTGGTAGTGTCATCTATTTGCTTGCGTGATTTTTCTTTTGCAGGGCTCAGCTATCCAGATGCAAATAAGAAGAAAACTATTTCTTCCCATAAACGCCATTATTGCAGTAAGTATTGAGTCCTTCCTCCAATGGGCTACCTGACCATGTATTTTTTGTGCTTTTGTTTATAAGATATCAGACTATAATTGCTTTCTTACTTCTTCATCTCATTTTAAGTCTTTGAACCAGGATGTCTGAATTTTTTATCTTTTATTTTCAATATCCATTATGAGGACAAGCCTCAGTTATTCAATAGATCTTCATAATCACTAGCATGCTATAAATTTTCTATATTAAAGATTTGTTGAAATTTTTAGTATTATAATATAGCCCCTTTTCATGCAAAAGTGAATTGTCTTAGACAGTTGAGGTTTGCTTCAGATTATAAAGTAATAGGTGATAAATCATTGATTAGAATTTGGGCATTCCAATTATTTGTCCCAATAAACATACTTTCCTTACTGCTTTAGGACACTCTTTAGGAATTTGGTCCTCTTTTGTCCATGCTGAATGTTTTGTTATGCTGACCCTCTTGTTGTGTTTGATATTGTTCCTTAAAGATCATGCATGACCAAGTTTGCAGTCACTTAAAAAAATTCCTTCACAACCATGTTTTTTTTTAATTGTTCAGATTTAGGCAATATGCTGCCCCACTAATTTCACTTCTTAAGCAAAAATGTCTCTTGAGAGATTTGTTAAAATTAATTAAAAATAATTCTTTTTGATGGAAAATGAAGTCAGATTTGAGTTCTACTCCAAGTTGAGTTTTATTGGTCATTTTTCCAATCCATATAATCAGTTACTTTATTGGGAATTTGAGGGTTTTAGGTCATAAGGTACATACAAATCAGAAATAATTACTGAACATTTAGGAAATTCTACATCTTATTCTTATTTCTAGTTTCTGGAATTCTGTCTTTCTATTTCTTAGTCAATTGTATTGGTCTCCTTAAAAAGTGTTTCTCTTTAAGTTTCATTTTATTCATAATTTCCAGCCAACATATATCTCTGCTTAAATTTTAATAATCTTCTCAGATTATATTATGTCCTGGGAAGCCCAAGACCTTTCAGAGTTGTTGGACCTTTTGACTTCCCCATTCCCAAAGCAGCTCCTTAAATGTAACTTGTGTTCAACTTGTGTCTATAATGAGAAGTATCAGAGTCAAGGAGTAAATATAACTAATCAAATGATGCCTCTTACAATATCAAAATATGAACTTTATTTGAAGAAGACAGACTAATTACACAAATTAATTTGGAATCAAATGTGAAATATAGTATAAATATATACACACAAATGCTTATTCATATGTAGATACAGTATTCCCCTGTTATCTGTATTTTTGCTTTCATTTCAGTTATCTATGGTCAACTGCAGTCCAAAAATATTAAGTAAAAATTCCAGAAAAAAACATTCATAAGTTTTAAAGTCAATATCATTCTGAGTAGTATGAGAAAATCTCCCCTTATCCTGTTCTCAGGAATCAGCTCTATGTTCACATGTACATACTGGATACACCACCCTTCTCTTAGTCACTGAAGAGTCCTTTTGGTTATTGATCAACTCTCTGTCCCAGTGTTAGGATATGCCAAAGAAAAGCTGCATACATCTTGTTATAAGTGAAAATATAAAGTCATTGACTTAAAAAAGAAAGGAAATAATCATATACCAATGTTGCTAAGATCTACAGTATGATAAGAAATTTTGAGAGAAAAAGATCACAGTCATATAACTTTTATTTTAGTATATTGTTATTATTGTTCTATTTTATTATTAGCTATGATTGTTGATATCATAATGTTCTTAAATTATAAATTAAACTTTGCCATAGATAGACATATGTATAAGAAAAAAACATAGCTTATGTAGGGCTTGGTACTAGCAGTTTTGGGCATACACTGGGGATCTTAGGACATGTCTTCTGTGGACAAGGGGCTACTACTGTAACTATTATATATGTATATATAACTATTTTATTATTAATGAGACATCTAAAAATCTAATGTTTAATTATCCTATAGTGTAGGCCTTTCTTCATCAAAATTTTAATACATGGCCCTAAACATAGGCCGAGAACCATTGTCTGAGTCTCCAAAAGATATAAATCAAAACTGCGGAGAAGGCCAGAGGCAATCATTCTTCTGCCTAGGTTTTTTCTAGTGGATTTGTTCTTTTTTGTTCCCCAGGTTTTGAACTTTCCTTGGTCTCTGCCCTGACTGCTGGACCATCTTTGGAGCTTATTCCAACCCATTGTCTCTCCTGCTTTATAGCTAACTCTGAAATCTGGAAGTATATTGATGAATAAAGTATTTTCTCCTAGTACTACTGGAAGACCTTTTATTGACCCAGATCCAAAGACTTAAACCCTGAATCTGACTTAATGATTCTGCTTTGACATTCATAGCTTGGTATTCTTTGTTTTCAGTTCCTGTTCTGACCCCTAGCTTTCTGGAGAGAATATTATGGTCTTTCATGATTCCCAAATCATACCCTGGGCTCTAGATTAAAGTTTAATAATAAAGCACTTATAGCCTGAGGGGCCTGCATTATTAATGTGGATCTTACTCTTCAAATTGGTATTGTTAAATCATTTGGCTTTTGGTGGTCTAACCATGTGGAAGAAAAATATTACCAATATTAATGAGTTCATCCTGATTGGCTTCCCTACAACCCCTTGGATGCAGATTCTGCTCTTCTTCCTCTTCCTCATCACTTATCTGGTTGTGCTATTGGAAAATGTGGTCATTATCCTCACTGTATGGGTCACTGGATCCCTGCACAAGCCCATGTACTATTTTCTGGGCACCATGTCCTTTCTAGAGGCTTGGTATATATCTGTCACCGTTCCAAAGATGCTGGCTGGATTCCTTCTTCATCCCAATACCATTTCCTTCCTGGGATGCATGACCCAGCTCTATTTCTTCATGTCACTTGCCTGTACAGAATGTGTGCTTTTGGCTGCCATGGCCTATGACCGTTATGTGGCTATATGTTGGCCTCTTCGCTATCCAGTCATGATGACCACAAGGTTTTGTGTACAGTTAACCATCAGTTCCTGGGTGAGTGGTTTCACCATCTCCATGGCAAAGGTTTACTTTATCTCCAGAGTTGCCTTCTGTGGCAATAATATCTTGAATCACTTTTTCTGTGATGTGTCACCTATTCTCAAACTGGCCTGCATGAACTTATTTATGGCTGAAACAGTAGACTTTGTGTTAGCAATTGTTATTCTTGTGTTCCCTCTCTCAGCCACTGTCCTTTCCTATGCCTTCATTGTGTCTACCATCATCCACATACCCTCAGCCACTGGGCAGCAGAAGGCTTTCTCCACCTGTGCATCTCATCTAGCAGTGGTGGTCATCTTCTACACAGCTGTGATCTTCATATATGTCCGACCTCGGGCCATTGCTTCATTCAATTCTAACAAATTGATTTCAGCAACATATGCAGTCTTCACTCCCATGCTCAACCCTATCATCTATTGTCTAAGGAACAAGGAAGTTAAAGCTGCCATCAGAAAAACCATAGCAAGTGGCCAAGCCCTTTTCTTGAGAGATTCACTTTGCTGAAGAAACTGAGACATTCCTTCTTCCATCATTTCACTTAATCTTAAAAGGCACCTTCATCAGAGGAAGGTCTACAATTGTGAGCATACTGACTTAGTACAATGGTTTAGGAATGTGTAACCATAGTTAAAGGAAATCTTCTTTTCTGTTAAGCCTTAATTAAATACTCCCTTTTATAAGGCAGTGGATGAAATAGTTAAAGCATTGAGACATAAATTGGCCAAATAATCATTAAGTAATTCTATTGTTTATGAAGAATATATTCAGAAATAATCCGACATTATCTGTCTTCATAGTTCATTTGTGATGTTATTCCTTTTTGATTTGTTTTGTTTTCAAAGTCTTCTCTATCTTGGGAGGGTTGCACAAAGAGGTTTTGCTGTACAAAATACCATGGGCCTATTCATTGCTTTAAAGGAGTTTGGGACTGGCTTCTTTCAAAATCAATTGATCTTAACGATCAATTGCTCAATTAATATTGGTCATTTTATTTTTAAAATTTAAGACAAATTTCCTACAGGCTGTAACAGAAATACTGTGAAGTAGGATATGCATGATTTATCATGACAGATAAAATGAAAAAACATATGTGATTTTATGCTTTAGTTCCCTTCTTTTGTTGAACTTCTAAATGTAAATAGAAGCCAGACTGTAGGAAAACTAGTAGCTATTCATAAAGGTCATTCCTTTTCAGATGAAGAATGCATCTTACCAAGTGGTTCTGTTTAGATGCCTCATGATTCCACTGTGCTTTGCCTTCAGTTTCTGCCCTTATTTCTGGATGTGAATTTTTCCCCCAGGCTCTCCAGAACTTCTACCTTCTCATTTGTTTTATTTTTGATTTTAGAAAGACAGATAGGACTGGGCACAGTGGCTTATACCTGTAATCCCAGCTACTTAGGCATCAGAGATAGAAGGACTGCAGTTCAAGGCCAACCTGGGCAAAAGGTTAGCAAGATTCTGTCTCAAAAGAGAGCCAGTCAGGGTGTCACATGCCTATAAATCCAAGCTATGTGAGAGGTACAGGGTGACCCAAGGGTGATGCTGGGCAAAAAGTATAAGACCCTGTAAAAAAAAAATAGCTAAAGCAAAAAGGGAGGGGATATGTCTCAACTGGTAGAGTCTTGTCTAGCAAGCACAAGGCCCTGAATTCAAACCCCAGTACCACCAATAAATAAGTAAAAAAAATAAAATAATGGTACATGCAAGGCCCTTACAAACTAACATATGCTTTCATTTAATTATTATAAAATAGTAGAACAGAGGTCAATTCTGTTTGGTTCAGTAAGAATATTGAATGAGTGAATTAATGACATATGGTCTGCTAAGAATTTAAGAATGATAAGCACACTATTTTACTCCAGCACTTTGGGACACTTTTGATATATACACCATCTATTGTCCTTCCCATTTTGTGTTTAAGTTATTTTACAGTGTCAGATGGGACTGATTTATTTTACTTTTTATAAAGATTACAGTGCTTTACAAACTGTGGCAATTTACAGCTCATCTCTACTTATTAACTTCTCCTGGCCTTCATTAATTTTAATCTACCCTCAGATCAATTAATATTTTCTTTCTGCATTTACAAGTTTCAAATTTGGGTGCCAAAAATATTTATAATTGTTATTCATTCTTCTTGAATTGAACCTTCAATTTCTAATGACTCTATTTGTGTCATTTTGTACTTTTCACTTACAGGATATTTTACTAAATGTAAGTAGTTACCCTGATCTTTTTTGGTTTCCTTTTTTATGCAATATATTCTTCTATTCCTTCACTTTCAATCAATGTTTATCCTTGAAGTTGAACAGAGTTTGTTGTAGGCAGCATATAGTATGGTCATTTTTAATTCTGTCCACTTAGTCATTCTATGTCCTTTTATTAAAGAATTTAATCTATATACATTGAGAATAATTATTACTAGATAAGGACTTTCCACTCTCATTTGTTAATTTCTTTCTGATTTTTCTATAGATCCTGTGTTCCCTCTTCCTCCTCTTCCTCCTTTTCCTGTTCTTCAATTGTGATTAGATGTTTATCTGTAGTCGTATACTTTAGTTTGTTACTTTTTAAAAAAGTCTTTACTGCAAGTTTTTGCTTTTTGCTGCCATGTTGGTAATAGTGCCTGAGGCATAATGGCTTGCAAAGCAGCTGGGAAACAAGTTATAGAAGCATGGATATGTACAGCACTTCAGTGGTTTCATGGTCCAGGGAAGGGTGAGCTTCTAACTGGAGCACAGACATGTGTCATAGAGTACCTATCACACAAATTTCATTAGCAATCCAGGAATCTTTTATATATAATGCAAGTTGGCTGGTGAAGTAAATGTCCATTCTAAATGTTTTGATCTGTTTCTACATGGCTTGGTGAACATGTGAGCGGCAAATGGTTCTTACAATACTTATCACCAGAAGATACTAATGAAGAGATGCCAATTTTTATTATGTAAGGGACATCCTCACAGGAGCCCCTGAGAAGCTGTTAACAGTTAAAGATGAACAGTCTGAAGACTGACTATTCTGGGTATTGCTCTACTTTTTTGGGGGGTCAGAGAATCAACATCTGTCAGCATGCGTATAATCCATTTTCAGCAAAGTGATTGGGAAGATTTGTTATACAAATATTCAGTGTCTTCACTGTTTAATGAATGTGAAGTTGCAGTAAACAAAATGGTTAAGTTCCCCTGATCTATTGTATAACACATGGCCCTATAGTTAATAATAAGGTGCTGTGCACTTAAAAATTTGTTAAGAGTGTAGATCTTATGTTAAATATTCTTAATACACACACACACACACACACACACACACACACAAGAACCAAAGTACATGATGAAAATTGTGTGAATGCTATTTATGATGGGAACACAAATTTGTAAGTATTCTCAAATTTATCAAATTCTATCTTAATTGTGTACATTTTTGCATATCAACTATATCTCTACAAAATTGAGGAAAATAAATAAATGAATAAAATTTTATGTAGGGTTAATATTTTGTGATATTAACCCTCTCTGTCCTTATTTATCATCTGTTTTATTTGGTAAATTGGATTTCCAAGTAAATCATCTTACTGCCTCTACAACAGTATTTTTCTGCTCTTTTTGTTGCTATGGGCTTACTTTTCATATTTCTTTTACTTTAGTATTTGAAATTTTTTAAAAAATGTTTACAGAAAAGTAGAGAACATTGTAGAACTGTCACAGCTCAGATGTTTTAAATTAAATATTAAAAGCAGTATATAATTACATTTTATAGTTTTCTTGCATATTTAATCTTGTGCTTAGTTATAACTCGGCATTTAAGAAGGAATGAAGGATTGAGTAATCGTCAGAGAAGGTGATGGTGCTAAAGCCTATGGCTATTAAGACAGTGAACCAGAAAAAGAATAAAAAGGTCAGGTGAGCATGTTACACACCTGTAATCCCAACACTTGGGAGACTCAGGCAGGCAGATCATGGATTTAATGGAGGTCAGGATATATAGTGTGATCCTGTCTCAAAAATTTAAAAAATCATAAAAAATTAGAAACATTAGTCATCAAGGGATAGATATGATGGTACTTGCCTATAATCCTAGTTACTATGGAGGTAGAGACAGGAGAATTATAGTTGGAGGTGAGCCTGAGCAAAGTTAGCCATATCCTATTTCAAAAGAAACTAAAAACAGAAAGGACAGTGAGTATGGGTCAAATGGTAGAGCACTTGCTAATAAGTACAAAACCCTGGATTCAATCCCCATTAAAAAGAAGATCAATTGTCCAAAGAGATAAATTGTCAAAACTGAGAGTGGCAAGAAGTTTCAACAGTGACTAAACTGCTTGAAATTGTCTTTAGGCAAATTCTCTGTTCACTGAAGAAATGTTTTTTATTTGTAAAAGAATACAATTTTCAGCAAGTAATTTTATACTAAGATTAATATAATATTGACTTTGCTTAAATATATTCACAGACAAGCTATTGATCCTCTTGTGAACTGAATTATTTCCCTCTCAAAAAAGATAAGCTGAAATCCTTTAGTGTTAGAATATGGCCTTGTTTGAAGATGGGGTATTTAATAGAGGAAATCAGTTAAGTATTAGTCATTTGATGAGCCCTAATCTAACATGACTGGTGTCCTTCTGAAAAGAGGGAATTTGCACACAGTGTTGGATATGTAGTACACATTGTCTCTAGAACAAAAATCAGCCCTTTCACAACAATAATAAAAAATAAATGAACTAAAAACTAAAAAAAATTTAACATATATTCTTTGTTAAAAAAATCAAAGAAAGAAACGACTCTTCACTAAATTCATTTTTACTCACCTTTTTAATTTTCAGATTTGGTTAGTCTAAATGTTATTCTGCAATTAGAAATCCTCTCATTGCCTACTTTCCTACAGCATCAAAACACTAACTACCCCTGTGGAAACTTACCTGGGCCTGTGCAACTCATTTGGAAGTGGTGGAAGGATGAAATATGAGAGATAGTCTTCAGTACAGACCAAAGTTATAAGCTTAGTTCTAACATTTAGTTCTGTTTAACTTTAGAGAAGTCACTTAAGCTCTATGACTTTTAGTCTATTCTTCTATAATAAAAGATAAGTAATAATATCAAGTCACTCTAATTCTTCCCTATGTCCACGATCTACAGTCTTCCAATCAGGAAGCCCCAAAGCCTTTAGTTTTGTTGTTGTTGTTGTTTTCTTCCTTTCTCATCCATCCTCTTTATCAGATCCTGTAAACTCTATATAAATGTCTAATAATTATAAAGATTTATAAGAACTAAAATACTTTTTATGATAAAATATATTAATACAGAGTTATAAATAATTATTTCACTGGTAGCATTAAAAGTAGATAGGTGGGTAAAATTTAGTGATAAATATGATGAAGGATTATAAAATTTTTCATATGGGAAGAAATAAATGCTGGTGAGAAAATTTCTGCTTCATACCCTAGACCAATATGGTTCTGTTCTTACAACTGGTATGGTACTCAAGCACTCTATTTCTACCGAAATGTTCTCAGACCTGTTTTTATGTATCAGCTAAAATTATTTGATAGTTGCCAGTGACATGCTCAAATGAACAGTAATTTCAAACCTATTTTACTAGCAAACTACTGAAAAAGGAGTGCAAAAATACATTTTTTGACTCCTTAAGGTTACTGATTAAAAGATGCTATGTGCACTTATACTGGACTCTGCCATTAAGCAGAGAGAAGGGTCAGATATGGGTAGCTTCTTGGTTACTTGTGAGGCTCAGCAAATGCAAAACTCTTCTGTTGCATTAGAGGAGATTTGCAGAGTTCAAACTATGATTACAAATAAACAAAACAAAATGTCCCAAGGTATCTCATTGTGTGAAGAGGTAATAGAATGAACTATTCTTAGGGGGAACCCCAGGGAATGTCTTGTTTGTATCACTTCAATCTTTTAAGAATTACTCATAGAAAGAGATTCAGAACAGTGCTGATGTTTGAAAAATAAGTGTTTACTTCAACCAAGAATACAGTAAGAATTTGGAATGGAATCTGCAAAGTCAAGTTAAGGCCTACCTGCTAGGATAAAAGGCTAAGAATCACCAGAGCACCAACACCAGATCTGCAGCTTAGATCTCTGGAGCTCTACCGAACTTAGTGTGAGGCCCCCTGCTCACCTGAAGGTCTTTGTCTCTACAACAAACTTACCCAGGACTCCAGGTAAGGAGTAAATGCAAAAGTGACTAAAGAGGAAGAACTTTAAAACCCAGGAAACAAGGAAACAAGACCCTTAAAACCCAGAAACCTTGAGTCTATCCTGAGAGAAGATCAAATCCTTATTTTTGCAACCTATTTGGGAGAGGAGACTTTTCTTTTTCCCATCTTCTCTGCACTCCAGAAATCCAGAGATCTTGCTACTGAGTTCTTGATGAGGGCATCAGAATAGGTGAAAGAGTCCCAAGAACCCAAAAGGATCATTTAATTCAAAATAATAACCCCTTTTCAATTAATAGAATGTCCTTTTTTTCCTCTGACCTTTCAGTGCTTTCTACATTGGTATTGTCTTCCTTTTTACTTTTCTCCTAATCTCTGCTTATTGATAGTCACCGAACCCAGAAGGCACTGCCCAAGATGTAACACATAGCTTCCTGCAATTGGCCACTCATTGTCTGGGATGTGGGAAGGAGTCAGAGCCTGGTGAGTATTAATGTGGGCTGTGTGGGTTGTACAGGCACCTGTAGCACAGTCCGTAGAGGCTCTGATGCACTCTTCTTCAGGTTAGGATGAGAAATCAGAAATGATTGTAAATTGAAATTGTGTTTCTGTTTTCACTGGGGACCTGCCAATGATGAGTTCTCACCTTCACAAGTAGTTCAGGTGGTATTACCTTGTGTTTCTCCTTGTCACAGCATCTCCCCACTCCATGGAGTTCACCTAGCTGGACCAGGATTATTTGTGGCTTCCAAATTTTATACTATGTTTTAGATAGGATGAGTAGTTCTTAGGAATATTTGAATGCAGGGCCTGTGTGTAAGGAGGAGTCCATTCTCTCCTGGATACATTCAATTATTCATCCATTCAGTCAGAGAAAGAGGTTTACAAACATATAGTAATGTTACTTAATAAATATCTTTAAAAAGCATATTGTTATATACATATTTAAGCAATAAACTGTACATAGAAATATGCACATTTTTATACAAAATCTTATAATAAAGCAACAAAAACACACTTATCAAAAACTATTAGAGAATGGGGTCAGTAATGAGGTTTTTATTTATATCTTTAAGAACTTTTGTCTTATAGCAATATTCTGTTTAAAGTTTTTGAAAATTATCACTAAAAAGAAACACAGTTAACAATGTACCTTAGTACACACTTACAAATACACAGTTAAATAAATATATTATTGAAGCTATTCTTATATTATTGAAAGATAGTATGCTCTTTTCTTCTTCAATTTTAAGAAATACAGGTGGTAACTTACTCATTCTATTTGATTGCCAATGATATATTATAAATCTCACTATCAAAAGCACTTAAGAGATTATTTGGTAATTGGTGTTGCAGACTTTATCACTAATCCTCTTGTGTCATCTCATGCTGAAGTGAAAAAGATCTTTCTCATTTGATTTTTCTAGTCCTTTAAAGTGATCTCTGACTGCATTCCTGGTCCTTCAAAGGCAAAGGACCCCCTTTAGGTTAGGCTAGACTCACACTAAGTCAGATACAATCTATATGGAACTTATTTAATAGAAACCCCTCATCTGGTGATCTTGATGTCACATTTGGCAGTTGAGAAGCCAGTCATCCAGCCATAATGATTCTATTAATATTTTTTTCCAAATTGCCAGCTAGACATAGGGTCATATGCATGAAAAAAGTCCTAAAATGTTTGCAGTCTTTACCTTTCCTGTCTCAAGATGGTCCTGTTAGGAGGATTGGCTTTCTGCTCTGACACTACCTTTATTCTAAAGAGCAGTTCAATCCTTTCCAGAAATATCACATTCCAACTGTGAATTCCAGCTACCTGCTACTTCCCCCAACTCTTTCTACTTACGTATTATCTTGGATCCAGCCATCATAGTATTTGTTCTAGATGTCACCAAACTATAGACTTTGAATAGTGCTTCCCAACTGGCTTCAGAACATCAGATCAGACCAGTCCCCGATGTTTACCAATGTACCTGATCCAACTGTTGGAATATTCTGTGCCAAACTACAACACAAATAAGGTAAACACTGTTATTTCAGATGAAACACTGTAACCATGCAGATAGTTGTGGCTGCATTCGGTCTTCATGAAGGGGTCCTATCATGTGTGGTGCTACCTAAGACAGGCCACATCTGTACTGTTTTCAATATACAACAATGAGTTTCCTTTTTGTCTTATTCTTGAGTACCACAATCACAATCCAGGATTGTTTCTCTGATGCAATGAAGAAGTTAGGAAAGATAAGAACTATAGATTATAACACAACCAAAATAGCCTCTTAATTTCTCTTCTTGCTTGAAAAGATGACAGAGAATCACTAGAAAGAAAATGGAAAGGTTTATTATTTGCACCTGCATTTGGTAAAATCAGAGCTAATTTTTCCCCATGATCAGTAAACTAGGAAACAAAGCACAGCTGGTGTATTCTATTAAAGGAAGAATTTGTTACTTTTTTTTCAAACCCATGTAATATATTTGCAAGTTTTTTCTTTGGTTCAGATAATAGTATGTAATTTTGAATCGTGTGTTCAAAGCATGGAACTTTCTGTGAAGATGTCTCCTGGCATTATCCACAGTTGTTGAATAATGGATCTACCAATGACAGCACTCATCTGGCAAAGATTGCCAAGAAGATGTAGTCCTGGTGTCACGGCACTTATGAACTAAATTGACTTAGAAGCAATATAGGGATGGAAAAATTAGGAAATCAGCATCTTAAATGTTTATAATGATTTGCTAAATCAAGTGCATTTGTTCTCCCATTGAGACTTCGTTTTCTGGATTTGGTGTCCCATCATAGTCAACACTTGATTCTGAGCAGCTGTTAATCTGTAGAAAGGAATAAACACTTATGGGCGATGAAAACAAAACTTATCTGACTGAATTCATCTTGCTAGGACTTTCTTCAGATTATCAAATTCAGATTTTGCTCTTTGTGGTATTTCTCACCATCTACCTGTTGACTGTGTTTGGGAATCTGCTCATTGTACTATTAACTCATATTGACTCTCGACTTAATACACCAATGTACTTCTTCCTTAAAAATCTGTCATTTACTGATCTCTGTTTCTCTACAACTATTGTTCCCAAGATGCTAATCCACTTTCTTGTCATTAGAAAGACAATTTCATTTACTGGATGCTCGATTCAGATGTTTTTTTTCCTTGTAATGGGGTGTACAGAAAGTTCACTTCTAGCAGTGATGTCCTATGACCGCTATGTGGCTGTCTGTAAGCCCTTGTACTACTCCATCATCATGTCCCAGAGAGTTTGTGTTCTGCTAGTAATTGGGTCCTGGGCTAGTGGAACATTTGTGTCTTTAGTAGATACCACATTCACTTTATGTCTTCCATACCAAGGACCAAATGTAATTAATCATTATTTTTGTGAGCCCCCTGCACTTTTGAAGCTGGCTTCAGAAGAAACCTACAAAGCTGAGATGGTCATCTTTGCTATGGGTGTGGTAATCCTCCTGGGTCCTGTCTCTCTTATCCTTTTCTCCTACTGGAATATTATCTCCACCGTGGTTCAGATGCAGTCAAGGGACGGGAAGCTTAAGGTCTTCTCTACCTGTGGTTCCCATTTCATTGTTGTTATCTTCTTCTATGGGTCAACAATATTTACTTACATGCAGCCAAGTTCAAAGAAAATGAATGAAGGTGATAAGGTGATCTCAGTGTTCTACTCAGTCATAACTTCCATGATGAACCCATTCATTTATAGCCTAAGGAACCAGGATGTGAAGGAGGCATTTAGGAAAGTACTCAGAAGATAGAAACTTTCAGTGACAGTGACCTTTCTATTGGTAGATAATCAGGGATATGGAGACACTCCTAAATTCAACTTCTTTAACTGCTTTTTTTTTAAAAAAATTCTGTACTGTCTCTTATCTGAGAGCAAATGTCAGCAAAGGTCATATGGTCACTCTTATTTTTCTAGGAATATTTGTCTGCTTCAGTCTTGTTCAAGCTTATTCTCTTTGGCTGTAGCTCACTTGCCTCATGTCAACTTACTGATTACTACTCTAAAAATACTTTAAAATAATGTATAAGGTCTTAATTTTCACTGCCACTTTGGTACATCAATCCATTTTCACCCTGGGGTATTTCCTCTCAGCTCTCAAGTCCACAGCTTCTTGCCAAACATATCTATCTCATGCTAGCATCACCCATAGCCAACCATGGATCTTAAAATCCTAGCAAATGTCAGTAAGCTATATTCTCCAGTTTGCTGTAAGAAAATGTTAATGATTTTTTTTCATGCAGCTCTGACAAAAGAATAAATTTTAATCTGTAGCGATCCAAACTAGTGCTATAGCTAATTCAACCACAACAAGGGGATTGGACTTTGGTCACAAGATAAAAGCGAGAGCACACAAGGGAGATATGAGGATAGGTATAAAAAAAAAATCCACAAATGGGGGAGCTGTTGTCATAGATAAGATTTGGGATTTCACACTCCAAGAAACATCTTTACTATCTCACACTACTTCCTACTAAGAAAAGTTGCTGACTTGAGGGAGCTGTAACTGAGAAACAGCTTCCTACAGTAGAACTGTCATGTGAGAAACCCCTGTGACACCAATACTCCACAGCTGCCCCTTCCCAGACATGGTCTCTAGTCTCTATAGGTTTGATTTTTGCCATCATTCATTAAGTCTTCTCCTGTGAGAAGTGGAATGGAATGGCTGATACATAAGAGGAATTCCTGAGGTTTGCTTTGTGGGATGTCTTGGCCCCTTTATTCTTTCTTAAATACTGCAGTAAACCCTATTAGGCCAGAAGCACCATACATGAAGCTTCTCATCAGAACTCAGCTTGTACTCTGCCCCTCCCTTAGACGAAAATCTTTTGCTACCTCATTCACCATACTCAATTAAAGGTTCATCTGTAAGAATGAAGCAGAACGGCCCAACACTTCATCGGTACATAGGAACACTACCAACGTACATCTCCAATTGCAGGGCCTGTGAGCCATGACGACATACTTAGGTGCTGTTCCAGTGCTGCCCGTTTTCCTCCTCGGCTCTCCATATCTCTTGGGAGAAGTCTCATGGCACAAATGTTTTGTAATTCTTTTGCCAGATTTAAATATTTAAAAATGAATATATATTATATATATTTATATTGTATATATCCTTGGCTTGCCTCACCTTTTTGCCATGAAGTCCTTTGTTAGGATTCTTGTCATATAAAGTTGGGAAGAATAGTGTGGCTAATCTTGGCAAAACCCTCCTTTCACAAAGTAGGAAGAGTTTAGAAGTACTTTGTTTTCCTAGATGCCATTTTTGCTTGAAACTAAGCTCTCACTTTGTGATAATCTATTTTTTGTGATAATCTCTTTACATAAATATATATATATATATTGTTATTTGGGTAAAGGTTGACATGGGACACAGAAAATGAGAATGAGATAATGAAAGTCAAGCTTGCCACATTGAATGCCTGTAGCTTTTCGTTCATATCCAGTGATGTTCATTCCATGTGTTTATGTTCTTTGCTGAATTTAATGTGTTGTGTATAGGAAGATTCTGCATGTGAGAATAAATATGTGACATAATAGATTTGCCATGTACTTGTGAGGTGAAGTATTTTCTGATAACATGAACTGATATGATCTTGTACAAAGAAACACACCTTTGGAGAATTTGGAATCTTCAACAGACACTGAATTATCTCTAAATGTTGGGTAATGTAGAACATTGAACCTACAAAGTCCAAAAATGAAGATCTATTAATCCCCAAACCTACTAATATACTTAACATTTAGAAAGTAAAATGTATTTTAAAAGCATTTCTAAAACATTTCCAAAGCATTAGTTAGCATTTTATGATGAATAGGTGGCTTGTTGCAGCTATATATACTCGCATAACAAATATGGCATATAAGAAAAAAGAATCCAAATTGACAACTTGTGTTATACAATATAAGACATAATAAAGCCTATTGAAATCATTAATTTTACTGCTTATCTAAGATCTTTCTTGATTACAGTATTTAAACCCTGTTCAATGGTAGTTTGTCTACTATTGGAAACAATTTTGTACCTTTCAAAATTCAATATTCTGCCTTTTACTCAATCAAAAGGAACCAGTGATGTCCAAAAACTGGTAATAATGAATATCAGGATAGGAAAGTCTCAAGAGGTATATTTGTTTTGGGAAAATAATGGTTCAATTTTATCATAATTCTCACATGTTAGGTGGGCAGTAGGGGAGTGGTAGTGGCAGCCTGGCTTTTAAAACAGTGGTTGCCACTTGTCTGAAAAAAGCTGAAACTGTGAAACAGCTTTGAGGTGAAGAAAATTATACAAAAGGGTCTCAAGATGGGATATGCTGGGAGAATTACCAATGTACATATGAACTTATACAATTGCTTACAGAAGAAATACTATAGTATTAGTTAAGTCAAATCAAAACATTCCTACTCCAAAGATCTGGTCAAGAGATAGGATACCTATCTTTGTACTGTTGGCCTTATCAACCTTTAGTTTTGTTAGGTGGTATCATTGACAATTTAAAAAATAGGCAATGCTTGTTCCACAGTAGTCAGATTGCATGAAATGTATACTGTGCATCACAGATGAGGGATGTTTTGTGGTGCTCTGTGAGACCCATTTCAAGGTGCAGTCACACCTTTGACTTTCAGAAAACTGAGAATGATATACTGTCCTCTATGGTTAAGGAGATTGTTGCCTTCTCTCTCTAAGGAGACACTGAAACGAAATCTTAGAATGGCATAGTAAACAAAAGTGTAACATTCTCATGAAATCCATCTCACAATGTGATCCTTGGGCTGGTACCTTTGCAGGAACTGCTTGCTACTTTTCTGTAACTCAAAATGTTTAAAAACTTTTATAGAAACTTTACAAAGTAATTTTATCATGTTGAATTCAATCACTCTTAAAACTAGGGAGTTCACTTTGTGTGTCTTTGTTTCTGGTTTCTTGGAATTATTGTATGCTTTTCTTTTTTTTTTTAACAAAAGTACCAGCCCAACATATATTGAAAAATTTAAAACTCCAAGAGCAAAAGCAGACTGTGCACTCCAGATCACTGAGAAGCAGTATTATAAATCTGTTATAAATAACACAGCTGCTCTTAGAAACACAGTTGTCTCATGGCCATTCAAAATCTTTTCTTGAAATTAAATACTAGGGCAATCATATAACAAATGGAATGAAAAAGTTGCCACAGAGTTAATAAAAACCATGTAACTGACCACCAAAAAGAAACTAGTAGAGTTAACAAGATAAGAAAATCTAATACTTATTACAATTTTTATGTGAAAACACCAAGCTAGGATTATGTACCAGATTGTTTAGTGACTATGCAACAGAGGCTAAATAAACACATAGCACATGAGACACAAAAAACTACTGAATTCATCCTAGTTTGAGAAATATTTGTTTTTTTCTCTTTTTCTTTTTTAATTAGGATATATTTGTTGTACAAGGGCAATTCATAGTGACAATTCAAAATAAACTTATATTTACATTGGTTAGATTACCCCCACACTTTCTCCCCCTCAACCCTCTCCCCACCCCACATTAGCAGTTGCAAGAGGTTTCTTTGATCTATTTCACATAAGTTTATGAAGTCCATCAACCATATTCCCTTACCTTCATCTCCATTCACCCTTTCTCCTCCCACAAGAACACCCCCACACTCTGTACTTATTTTATAGTCCTGTCTTTAAGTCAATGTTCAAAGGGGTTTCTCAATGTATCACTGCTGTGAGTATACTTTACTTTGTTCTGTTCAACTCCATGTTTTCTACAGCAAAATTGTTTTCAGATTTTAAGGGTAGCAAATTTTCTTTCATTTATGCCACAAGTTATGTGTTTTGTATTCAGTCAGTGTGATATTAGTTTCAATAGTCCAGTTTATTACAGTTCATTTAATCAATGAATATCTAACTAATTTATTAATGATATTTTGGAGTGCTCTTCTAGCTCTTCTAGTAATGAATAATGTTCACAATTCCTATCCCCATAGAACATAGATCTTATTAAAGGGTGATAAATAAACACAACACAAAATAAATCTATGTCCTGTGAGAAAGCAAAATCAAGAGAAGATGGGTTGCAATTTTATGTGGGTGGTCAGGAAAGGCATCTTTTAAGATGCCTCAGTAATGAACATTTAAACTGTGAGAATGTTGAGAAGAAATGAAGGAACAAGGAGAGATTTAGGAGAAGAGAGTTCAGGTAGAAAGAGCAGGAAGATTAATGGTTTGGTGGGAATATGATGTTTGATGTTAAGAGAGAGAAAAGGTGTGTTTGGAGACTAATAAGTGCTAAAAGGGTGGGAATGAACAATATTAAGGAACATGGGGAGGTTAGATCAGTAGGGCTTTGTATCAGTTTACTGGAACTGTTACAAATAACACAAATTGGGGAGATAACAACAAACACCATGGAAGTCCAGGAAATCATCAGAGACTACTTTGAGAACCTATATTCAAATAAATTTGAAAATTTAAAAGAAATGGACAGATTTCTAGATACATATGATCATCCAAAACTGAACCAAGAGGAAATTAATCACCTGAATAGACCTATAACACAAAATGAAATTGAAGCAGCAATCAAGAGTCTCCCCAAAAAGAAAAGTCCAGGACTTTTTTTGCTGAATTCTATCAGACCTTTAAAGAAGAACTGATACCAACCCTCCTTAAACTGTTCCACGAAATAAAAAGGGAAGGAAAACTGCCAAACGCATTTTATGAAGCCAGTATTACACTTATCCCAAAACCAGGCAAAGACACCTCCAA